ACTTTGTTTGCATACCCATAATCAGGAATATGAAATATGAAAACATTTCGTATTTAGAGAAGGCAAAGACTGGATTCAAGTATCATGTAACACCATGTTGTTTAACTATGGGTCTTGATTAAAGTATAATTTTGTTCACACAACACCCTGAGCCAGAACCAGCATTATGATTTAGTCTGTGATCTAAAAATCTAATAGTGCTTTGCCTCTATGTGTGCCAAAGGTCAGCAACTTGTAGGATACATGACTCTTCTAATTTTTATAAATCGTTTGGAAGGCTTGGAAGCATTATTTAACATTCAGAATCTGCTCAACTTTTATTAAGCTAGATCAGTGTTTCCCAAACTTGACAATTTTAAGGCATGTGGACTTCAACTCCCAGAATTCCACAGCCAGCAACGCTGGCTGTGGAATTCTGGGAGTTGAAGTCCACATGCCTTAAAATTGTCAAGTTTGGGAAACACTGAGTTAGATGATCTTGAAAGGAAGTGTCCATGATACTTTGTCAGCAAATTATATTTTGTTTGAAGAAGTGTTGTGATGGGTTACTTAATCTGTTTCTCTACTACCTTAGACACTCTGGCATCTGCATATCTGATTCAGAAAGGTAAATCTCTGGGACTGAAGGGGTGGCTAAAACATGACAAACTTCTTTGCTTATATTTTATGTGGGGCTTCAGCATCTATCCCATCCTGGGTTCCTCGCCCAAAACAACAATGAACCTTTTCTATTAGAGTTCATTTCAATGCCTTTAAATTGGAAGAAAATATTTATAGCAATGCTACGTAGTTCTGTGATTTCTGCCTATATTGATATTTGATACAGGAGGATTTACTGTTTTAATGTCCTCCTTTTGATTGTCAAGCATGTCAGATTACAGGGTCGTTGGATGGTGAACTGGGGGATGTTGCTGAAAGCCAAAATTTCTTTGGAGAGTGACCAATCCAATAGCCTCGTGGTTGCAACTCCTCCTGTACCCCCCAATTTAGCAAAGTCTTTTCCAACCTGGTTTCTCTTAATTCTTACCTACAATTCCTATCATCAATCACCGTTGACAGTATGGGACAAAGTACTTTTGCTGGTGGTCTAAAATGGCATACCTTTTTGAAAGCTGTGTGTGGTCTAGGAGATACAAATCTTACTTTTTTCATTTCTGCATCTTCACTGTTAAGAATAAATCCCATGGTATAGCAAAAGGCATATCAGATAGCACTCTTTATTAACGTTTGAGTTTTTGATGAACAGCTTCTATCTTAGGGATGACTTACTGTAATTGTGTTTCTTCTCAGCAAATGTGACTCTGGATCCTGACACAGCTCATCCCAAGCTCATTCTCTCAGAAGATCTTAAAAGCGTCTGGCTGGGAAATAGTAGTCAAAACCTCATCATGGACGACAAGAGATTCGACCACATGATGTGTGTGTTGGGACGCGAGATGTTCCTCAGTGGCAGGCATTATTGGGATGTTGTTGTGGAAAATGAGGGCGACTGGGGTGTTGGAGTTGCCAGAATTTCATTGAAAAGAAAAGGTGTCGAGAACTTTATTAATATGGAAGGGTTCTGGGCACTGACAAAGTGGGGGAACTTGTATACGTACATGAGCCCCCCCCATTTTTCTCCTGAGCAAATAAACTGGGAGATCAAGAGGATTCGAGTCTTTCTGAACTACCCTGGACGCCGGGTGACTTTTTGTGATGCTGAGAGAGGAGACTTGCTCCATACCTTTGCAGGAACTTCTTTTTCTGGAGAACCCATTTGCCCTTTCTTTTGGCTTCAGAGGAAAACCCGTCTCTCAATTTGTCCCTAAGGCAGAAAGTCCACCACCAAATCCTTCTGTTTCTAGATCACTGGGGCCTCTTTCTTGGTATCAGTTTCCCTGTTCTTCCTCTCCATCCCATTCTCGGCACCGAACATTTGGGATGAGTGAATTTTAGGCAAATTGATATGATATGTAGGATGATCCTTACAAAGTTGCTATGTAGTATTTAATGGAGCCATACCTGATGTAAAGTCCACCAGATTTGGAGAGATCAAAATTCCCAGGTAGTGCTGGAGGGTGCTATGCTGAGGAAGACCTTCTCAGCTATTTTATTATTTTAATGCTTAATGGATAATTCCAATTAGTGTTTTAGTAAGCAGAGTGGCTCTTAATAGGGAGAAATAGTGCTGAAGACAATCATTTCGGGGGATGTTGTTTTGAACATAGAAACACTTTGGGGTTTTTTTTGTTTTTGTTTTAACATTCACATTTAAAAACACCATTCTTTTGTGTAATAAAGGTGAAAACCAGTTGTTGTTTTTACAATTTAATATGTGGTTTTTAATAAAGGGTATTTTCCCCATTGTTTTTGCAGTTCTTCTAGTTTTCAAACATTTTAGCCACTAAATGCACATAAGCATCTCTTCATTTTTAAAGAAGTTCCGTTTAAGCATCACCTCCTTGCCTTTTCTTTTTTGCTACCTTGCTATATGTGAGGGCGAAAGTAATTTGCTACTTCTTTCCTGGCTATTGGTTGTTCACTTCTCCCATGCTTGACTCCAATCTTCTTCAGGGGGACTGTTGGAAGGCAGAGTTTGGAGTGGGCAGAGTTATCCATTCATAGGGTAGTATTTTTCATGCTTTATAGAATCTTTTGAGCAACATAGCAGATACAGGTAGTCCTTGACTTACAACAGTTCATTTAATGACTGTTCAAAGTTACAACAGCATTGAAAAAAGTAACTTATGGCTATTTTTCACACTTATGACCTTTATAGCATCCCCATGGTCATGTGATCAAAATTCAGATGCTTGGCAACTGGTTCATACTTATGACTTGCTGTGTTCCAAGGTCATGTGACCTCCTTTTACCATCTTTTGACAAGCAAAATCAATAGGGAAGCCAGATTCACTTAACAACTGTGTTACTAACTTATCAACTACAGTGATTCACTTAACAACTGTGGCAAAAAAGGTCATAAAATGCAGCAAAACTCAAATGTCTCACTTAATAGAAATTTTGGACTGAATTGTGCTTGTATTGCTTCTAATCAATCTGGGCTGATCCTCAATAGCTAATCAGGGTCAGACCTAGTTAACATATGGATAGGGGGATTATAAAGACCATTTGGGGCTAGATTAGCAAATTAAAAAAAAATCTGAAAGAATACAATTGTGAAGCAGTTTTGTATCTTTAACGAATTTCAAACAGTTGAATTTGATCTAATGGAAATATTATCTTTATTTCTGTTTCATTTCTTAATTTTTTACATTGCATCTGAGGGAACCCGTACCATCCCTAAATACAGTTATATGCTCCATTTCCTACATTCTGTAAACGAGGCTGGAGGATTATACAAAAGACTTCCACGGAAACAATCCTCTTCAGGGCATCGGGGTGGGGAAGACAAAGGTAACGTCTGTACTAGACTTGTCTAATTTACAGAGAATTTTGCGAAGCTTGGACAGTGACTTGAAGCGTGTTTCCGTCTCTGTGGAAAGATGTTTTTAGGAAAAGGGAATATTTGTGAAGCGTCTTCGGATCAGTAGCGGCTTGCAAGCGTTCGCAAAAATTACTCAGCATCTTTCAACCCATAGCGATCACGTCTCTTTTTTAATTTCTTCTGTAGCTCAGAAATGGGGCTCTACCCGCCAAGATGCCAGCTGATAACTTTCCTTTAATGCAGAATCCGGGGCGCTATCCGAATAGGCGGGATTTTACAAAACGAAAGCAGCAGAAGGCCAGGATCCCATGAAACGCCGGTCTAAAGGCTCCCTGGCCAATCACTATTATGGAATGAAAGGAAACGAAAGATTCCATTGGATGCAGCGCCACCTATCTTGACCAATTACAATTGCTGAAACACCTAGCGAGGGAAAAAAAAAAAGAAACTGGTGAACGGGGCGGAGCTCTTTTCCTATTGGAAGAAAAGAGGACAAAATAATTGGCAGCTGGTTCTCCTTGACATCCTTACAGAATCCCCGAGACAGAAGCGTGTGGAAACTGGTGAGCGCGGCCGTTCGGGAATTGTAGTTCCGTGGTTTTATCAAGACGTGGAGAATCCTCTCTTACAACTCCTTGGAGATGCTAAACGCGGCGGCGCTCTAGTTGTTTTTTTAAAAGAGTTGCCTAGCAGTTGGTTGTGTGTGCCCTCGGTGTAGTTTTTTTTGGGGATAAGTCTTTAGTAGGATGGTATCTAGAAGTACTAGTATTTGTATGACCTTTTATGCAAAACTAGATTATGCTCCAACCATCTTCCATAACTGGGTATGCTCCAATTTTGTTTTACTAGAGTCCCCATTATCCCTGGCCAGCACAGGTGGGGGACATTTTTCTGTCGTCTCTCTGTCTACCCTATTTTCATTCAGGAGTTCAGTGCAGTTTACAGACTACTTTCCCTTATCTTTATTCTTCACAACCATCTTGTTAGGTAGGTTGGGCTAGAGACCAATTGGCCCCATACCCCTCAGTTAGGTAAACACTGGTCTCAGTGAAGAATATTTGTAGCTCAGGGTTGAAATGAGGTGCTCTGAGCTTGCTTGTTTCTTGCAGACATTTCATTACCCTAATTAGGTAATTCAGCAGTGCTAGTAAGGGGTGCTGTTTGCTGTGGGTTTATATTCTGAGGTTTTGCCTGTTTGTGTCTGTGAACACTGGTCTCTTTAGTGCCAGTGTGATATCTTAACCACTATACTGCATTTTGAAGCATATATTTACACTCTAGATGGCATACATTTTTCTGCTTGGTTCTGACACTAGCAATGTAGGAAGCTAAGGCATATTCTTTCCTCCCCTCCCCCCTTTTTCCCTGAAATTAAGGAGAAGCTTCCTAACAGTGAGGACAATTAAGCAGTGGAAGTTGTGGGTACTTCATCACTGGAAGTTTTTAAGAGACTAGACAGTCACTTATCTGAAATGGCATAGGTTCTCCTGCTTGAGCAGGGGGTTGGACTAGAAGACTTCCAAGGTCCCTTCTATTGTGATTGACTGATAGATAGATACTTAGGAGATTTTGGAAGGAGGGCGCCGAAGATGGAACTCGCTCTCCCCCACCCCATTGCTATTTTCTTTCTTCTTTTTCCTCATCCAGCTTGCTTTCTGGTGGAACTGCTGCAGCTGTGCTTGCTAAAACTGCCCAGGCTCTTGTGGGAACAAAGACCTCACACTCAACTTTGCTTGTTGTGATTTCAGACAGCATGGCTATTGGGAACATTAGGATGAAGCTACAGTCAGAAATAACTTGCTTTGTGTGTTTGGAGTATCTTATAGAACCTGTGACTCTTGACTGCGGGCACAACTTCTGCCATGCCTGCATTGTGAAGTCCTGGGGGCAGATTTCTGATGAGACTGCTTGCCCTCGGTGTAAAGTAGCAGTTCCTCGGTTGAATTTTAAGCCAAATGGGCAGCTGGCTAACGTCGTCCACTTAATCAGGCAGCTGAGTGATCAGGCAAAGCAGATGGCAAGAACAAGCAAAACCTGTAAGGGACATGAAACGGCAACCTTGTCTTTCTGCAAAGATGATCTTGTCCCCGTCTGCTTACTTTGTGATGGATCCCAGAAGCACCAGACTCACGATGTTATCTCTGTGGCACAAGCTGCTGAAGAGTACAAGGTAGGGCGCTCGCGTGGGGTTGAAAAATATATGTTGGTTTCATAATAATATAATTAACAGATGATGGGGTGGCCAAAGAGGGCAGAATCTCCTGAGAATCTTCAGGAGGTTGAGTATAAAATTTGGATATGGAATAAGAAACAAAGAAAGCATTTAGAAAGAATGCCCATACTGCTTTACAACTCATCAGCCAGCTGTCTACTTGGATGCTACTTCTTGTATTTGCTTCCATTTGTTTGTTTCTCTTTCAGGATAAATTTTTAAGCTGTATTGAGAGTCTAAGGAAGGAGAAAAAAGTGATTATGGAGCATCTCTCAGATACAGAAAAACAAAGTCAAGATCTGATTGTAGGTATTGCTACTACTGAGAAACTGAATAATCATGATATCCTATTTCCAATACTGTAGAAAGATATGTATGTAGCTCAGGATTGAACCGTGGAGTCCTTTGTGTTCTCTGAGATTGGTTGTTTGCTTGCAGACATTTTATACTTTACTAGGTAACATCAACAGTTCCAGAAAACTATGTTACTGATGTTAGTTGGGCAATAAAACGTCTGCAAACCAACAACTGAGTTCATAGAACATCAAGGCCTCCATGATATTCTTTTTATAACTGTTTTTATAACAGCAATAGCTCTCTCACTATATTGACTGGAATGAATAGAACTGCAAATCATTGAACCCAGGTCTAATTATTAAATATAAGAATCGAGAATATGCTGTTTCAGTCTCATCTTTAATGGTAAAAGCAGACTATTCCCAATCTAGTAGTTCCTTGTACTGTGACCTTTAATATGGGGTCGCGATGGGTCAGACATGACTTCGCAATTAACAACCACAAGCTAAAATAAAAGTAAGTGGGTTTTGATTCCTCAGTATCCTGTGTGATCAAATTAGCATGTTAAATGGACGCAGGAGCTGAATGTTATCAAACTGGACTGTCTGGTTAGAACATTGTATGAGTCCAGCCCAATGATGGTTCTTCTGCTGGAGGTGTCATCCATGATTCCTAAGAATTAATAGATATGCTCTCTTCCCCTTCCAAATTTTCCTTTTTACTGCAGCAACTAGTAGAAGCAGAGAGACAGAAAGTGAGAGAAGGGTTTAATCATCTACATCAGCTTGTAGCAGAACAAAGCTGCCTGTGGCTTACTAAAACTGAAGAGGTAAAGATGGAGATCATGTTGAAAACAAATGAACAGACGGCTGTAATTTCCAAGGAACTGTTTGTTCTTGATGACATCATCCGGGATTTAGTTGAGAAACGTGATCAGCCAGTGTTGGAATTCCTGGAGGTAAGAAATTTAGGTCAATAGTAGATGGAGCTCTGGGACTCATTTTTCATCCTGCTTTTGTTCCCTTGATTGTGGAGTGAAAGAGATGCTAGTTAAATGTTGTTGCTGTTGTTACTGGGCTGGGAGAAGTGGCTTTCATGCTAGAATATGTCAACATTGAAAGACCTTGCTTAAAAAAAGAAATTTTGGGTATGGGGGCTCATTCATTCAGGCATCTTGGTAAGCACATCCAGAATTTTAAGAATTTGTTTTGTGTACTTTTACAAAATGGTAGCCCAAGTGAGATGAGTGCACAAGAAAGGCAGGATATGAAGCAAAGATACCAACAAAGATACTATATACAGAGTCTTCAGCCAGCATGTTTAGCATACCTTCATTGTTTTGTAGCTAGAGTCTTCACTTTAGGTAGAGTCTTACTCTCTAAACGAGAGACCTAAGTCTAGTCTTTTGCACCTGTGAATAAGATCTGGACAGTTGCTTCCAGTGTTAAATTAGTAATAAACTAGATGGGCCAATGGCTTGATTCATTTTTCCAAGAAGCATTGATAAGAAACATGTCTGAAAGAGAAGACTCTATGCAGACCTGTACAATCAATTGCATGTCCAGGGAAGGTGCTAAAAAGCAAGAAAACATATTGTAACCAGATGTTTATTCTATACCTAGGAATCATTTTTAGTTCTATATTTAGTCCACTGAAAAAGTTTAAAAACATTCCTAACATTAAATTGTTTGGGTACTTACGACCACAATTGAGCCCAAAATTTCTGTTGCTAAGCAAGACAGTTAAGTGAATTTTGCCCCATTTTATGACCTTTCTTGTTAAGTGAATCACTGCAGTTTATAACATGGTTATTAAATTAATCTGGCTTCCCCATTGACTTTGCTTGTCAGAAGGTTGTAAAAGGTGATCACATGTCCCTGGGACACTGCAGTTGTGATAAATGTCAGTTGCCAAGTCACTAGATTTTGATCACATGACCACAAGGATGCTGCAATGGTCATAAGGGCGAAAAATGGTCATAAGTCACTTTTTCTGTGCCATTGTAACTTTTAATGGTCACTAAATGAATTGTTGTAAGTCAAGGACTACCTGTATTACTTTCTTAATCACTTAAATATTCAGGTTTCAGTGTGATTTACAATGTTAGTCTGCAGGTACAGGACAGAATCACTGAGTCCTTTCTCTAGTTCCCAGTCACTATAACCCAATTTGCAGAATATGTTTAGCCTATTTTTCCCCAATAGTGTTTTATTTTACTTTTTAAAATTTGAATATTGTCTTTCAAAATCTGGTTTCTCCAAAAATGCACTGAGTTTTCCTAGTCTATATGTGTGATGGGTTTCAGTGTATTACTGCCCAAACTTTAAAGGATGCCTTTAGAATCTAGATGGGGAATCTGGGCATTGCTGAATAAAATATATTGCTGAACAGCAGTCCTAGTTGTATGCTTAATGGTGAGAGATACTGGTTGCTCTAGCCCAGCGGTTCTCAACCTATGGGTCGCAACCCCATTTGGGGTTGAACGACCATTTTACGGGGGTCGCCAAACAACGCGATCCGCCATTTTTCCCCCTTCTTTAGAAGGATTTTGGACGGGGCAAGTATTGAGTGTTTATTCTTTTTTTTAAATTTTAGGATGCCCAAACCATCTTGGACCGGTAAGTTGATACCTTCTTGAAATGGCCAGGTTAATATTTATTTTGTATGTGGATAGGTAAGTAGAAACGTAGATAGACAGACAACTAGACAGACAGACACAGATAGCTATGTATTGAAAGCTGCCTGGTCTTCTGATATACAAAAAATGACCTACTTCATTTTAATATACCAATTCGCCTAAATGGAATTATAAGCAATTGTAACCAATTTGCTTGCCTTGGAGATGGGGATGAAAATGATATGGAGTTAAATGTCTTGGCTGAAACAGAGGATATGTTATTTTCAAAGAAAAGCATGCATCAGAATTGGATAGGAGCCTTGATACATGTATGTGTTTCACTTTGACAGCGGACAACTAAATTTCATTGTTGATGTGTGCCATTGTGCCCACAGTAAAAAAAATGACAATAAAGATTATCTTATCTACATATCACTTGGTACAGAACATATTTTATAGGCATAAATCTTGGTACAGAACATATTTTATAGGCATAGAAAGGATTAATTAAACCAGACTGAATATTAGTGCTTTAAATCTCCATGTTTACATGAATAATTGTGCTCAATTAACATTTGCAAAGACAGCAATACCATAGTTACAAGTGGAATAGACACTTGTATTTTCTGTCTTATTTTGGTCCATTTTTGCATATGACTGTGATGGATATTGAAAGTTGGAATGGCACTTGGTTTCCTAAAACTTGTAGCCACTTTTTTTCTGGTTCCTGCATCCTATTATTGAATTTTTGGTTCCCAACTGATTCTTACAGTATTTCATTTTTATCACATGTAGGAAAAAAAGTCAGGTTGACTCATCCTGATTTATCAGGTCTTGTAAGATGCCACTTTTCATGAAGGCCCATATGTACCTATGAAAGTCCACCAGAATTTAGGATTACAAGATCTGGATCTGGGAATAATTGTATTTGACCGCAGTATGGTTTTCCTAGTTGTGGCTTCTTTTCCTGCTTCATTTCTTCTATACATCAAGGAAATGTATAGAGAGAAACACATTTCTCTTCTGTCTCTTTGGAGAAATTTCTGGATCAGACATACTAAAATAAAGTCTGTCATCTAAGTCTAGCTCTAGTTTGTCCCTCACTTTTTAAGAAAGCTTCTGGGAATTACTGACTGGAAGGACAATTGACTACTGTCTATTTCTCCGCAGGTATCAGAAGAAGAAGAAATTTGAGAATCCAACGGACTTTCCACCAGAGACTAAACATGAAATCTGGGGACTGCAGGACTTCAGTGCTTTTCTGCCTGGTGCTGTGAAGCAATTTGAGGGTAACGGAAAGGCTTTGTCATACTTTAACTCGATGCCACAATTGGAAAGTCAACCATAGTTTACAAAATACTCCCTAGGCTATTGTCCAATTTGTATCTTTCCTCATTAAGAATAGTCTCAAAACAGTCCATTTCCTCTTGTTTGGGGATGAGACTTTCTATGGGAGGGGGAGGACCCTATGTTGAGGGAAGAGCATAGAGCAGCGGTTCTCAACCTATGGGTTGCGACACCATTTGGGGTTGATCGCCCATTTTTCGGGGGTCGCCAAAGGCCGCGATCCGCCATTTTTCGCGGCGCCGTGCATGCGTGCCGCGCATGGGGGCGGCACCGTGCACGCGTGCCGCGCATGGGGGTGGTGCTGTGCATGCGCACCGTGCATGGGGTGTGCCGTGCACGCGCGCCACTCATGGGGGGCTGCCGCGCATGCGCGTCGTGCATGGGGGGGCTGCCGCGCATGTGCGTCGCGCATGGGGGCGGCGCCGTGCACGCGCACGACGCATGGGGTCGTCACGTGTGCGCGCTGCGCATGGGGGACGTCACGCGTGCGCGCCGCGCATGGGGCGGCCCCACGCATGCGTGCCGCGCATGGGGGCCGCCCTCATGCGCGCGGCACCGCGCATGTGCAGAACGTTTGTGTGACGGGGGTCGCCGTCACACAAACGTTGAGAAGCACTGGCATAGAGCCTCTCCCACTGGTCCCATTCTGGATAATTCATTTACTTTTTTGGTCCTTTGATGGAGGGAAACTTGTGCTTGTTGGGGAAGGAGAAAGTAAGCTAATAATGTTATCTAGTTTGGGTAGTGAAACATCTGCAAGAAAACAACCAAGCCCAGAAAGTACCAAGGACCTCTCATTTTAACCCTGAGCTTCAAATATTCTCCTTTATTGAAAAAAAGCCTGCTAATTGACTAAAACATGCCTCACGTAAAGCAACCAAATCACTATGAAGATGTGACATAAATTCATTAAGCATGCAAACAACTATAGTATATGCTGAGCTTCCAGTATATTAGCCATTTGCTGAGCAGCCCTGATCAAAAGCAGAACATACCTTATGCACCTTTGGCTCCCTTTATGTTTGTCAGTTACAACATGGCAGCAAATGTTTTTCATTCATTAGGTTTGATAGTTTTTTTCTGGGTGACCTCATTACTTATCCCGTCCTATTAGGTCAGCATGGCAGCTATATTATCTTTGAGATATGATCAGCAAATATAAACAATGTGGTTTATTGGGCCACTGGGCCCTGTCTGATTCTTCAATGAGTTGCCGTTCGAGATCAATTCAGCTTTTTGTGAATGTTTTGTTAACAAGGACACTTTAAGCTGTTGCGGGAGGGGCAATCTGATAGGGTTGGTAGTGAATGTAGCTCACATATATCGAGCGGGGGAGTTCCTTTTAGTATCACACTGGTGTGGCCAGTGTGAGATAGTGAAGATCCTGGACTCAAAACAGAAGGTCCCTGAGTGTTTTGGGTCAATGTCGCTTTTTCACTATCTGCCCAACTTATTGTGAGGGGTAATTTTATGGCAAAACAACAGAGGAAGTATATACGGTGTTGCCTTAGGATACAAATCTAAAAAATACATTTTTTTCTTCTTCCTTTCCAAGAAATTCTTGCATCTGGATATCAACTGAAGAAACAAAATGGTAAATATCTGGGGTCTGTAGACATCAAATGGACCATAAGGTGGCAGTGCCCATATTTCTTGTAGGCAGTTGAGGCTATTTTAACACACTTTTAGAAAGTGACATTATGTTTTTTTAAACCATTTCTGACAAGTGGCGGTCCAGCATCTTCTTGAAAACCTCCAGTGACGAAGCACTGAATGAAGGTGCTGACTGCTACTGAAAGTTTAAATTCTTTTTTTTCCCCTCAAGAAGAGGATAAGGGGAAGGATTTATTGAAAAGGGAGTGGCCAGAAAAAGACCATTATCTGTAAGTGGAGAGTGAGGGAAAAACCCGAATCCAATTTTGGGGTGGTAAAGCTTTTAAAAAAGGATTCCCAGCAGGGAAAGGAATACAACAGGAGTCAATGCATAACTGCTGAGTTATGGGTTATGTGTGGTCCAGGTTTATTCTGCTGATGTCCTATTAAAATCTTATTTGATTTCACTATACTGCTCATTGAGGGTTACTTACAGAGAAGACCCTGAAGGATTTGCCCCGAAGGATTACAAATCTCACAAAATACTGAAGTTTGCTCTGGGAGAAGGAAACCTTATTGCATTAAAATACAGCCAACCAATCTTCTAAAAAAACTATCTTGTGTCAGCCCTTGAACATTTGTGGATTCACTTGGTTGGGAAAAGAGCAGAAGTGCGAGAAAGCTAAGAGTGGAGATAGGGAGTATGAGTTAGACTAGGGAGTAAAGAATGAGATCTAATACATGTGCCTTGAGTTCAGCTCCTAGTTATGGTAAGACACATCCAAATTGTTTTCTTGCCAACACTGTAAAAATACTTTGCCATTGCTTTCCTCCAGGATGCGTTGTTGACTTCACATAGTCTACAACCCTGAGATTTTCTTGTGATCTAGTACTTTGACCCCGTTTAATTTTGCCACAAATTGCTGTTTTGAGAAGCAACGCCTGAATTTCCAAATCTAGGCCCTTCCATGCCTGCTGTTGGGCTTAACTCTCTCTCCCCCCTTATTTTTACAGAAGATACTACTCTGGAGCCAGACCCAACTCAGGTGAAACGCCCGAGACTAGGGAAGACCTGTCAAGATCCATGAAAGATTTTGAAGGCAGACGACTCCTGACTAGTCACAGTGGGATGCCTGCAATGTAGATTTTAAAGAACTTCAGTGAAAGGACAAGGCCTTGAAATTTTCAGCTGGGAAAATCAAGGAAATCCAACTGTTTCAACTCTTAGGGAAATCTTTTAAATCTATTCACCTTCTTCAGATCTTCATTTTCTAGAGAGGCCTTTTATTTCTCCTCCTGATTTCCACTTCTTTTTCACTTTTCTTCAAGGCTACACAGCCTCTGATCATCCTTCAGAACACCTGTGTGGAGGAGGTAAAGTTATGATGGCTGCCATGACTGTATAATTGAAAGCCCACCCTTTTTTTATGTGCGTGCTGTTTTTGACCCATGTAAAAAAGCATAGGACTTTGATCCCATGGTTGTGGCCACCATCTTGACTTTTTGACATCCCTTGCAGATGCTCCTGTTTTCATTTCAACTTCCTTTTCTAAGTAAGATTAGTCATGGATATGTTGTAGCTAAGTGTGGCCTGAGGTTGGATTTGGGTATCTGTTAATTGTTCCTTAACGGGATCCCTTATAAATGAAGAGTTTCTTAAATGATTCCTTGTTAAAGGAAGTCATTCTGACATGAGAAAAGAGATAAAGTCACTTTCAGTCAACTCTGGTGAAAAATGGGACCTACTTGTTCTTTTAAATTGTTTTAATTTGTCCTGAGTATTCTTTCCCAAAAAGCTGTTTGATTCTTGTTTTGCAGTGTTATGGGACACACTTTTTCTTTTAAGTTGTGTTAATTTGTCCTGAATATCCCTTCTCAAAAAGCTGCTTTATTCTTGTTTTACAGTGTTATGGGATACACTTTTTTTTTAAGTTGTGTTAATTTGTCCTGAATATTCCTTCCCAAAAAGCTGCTTGATTCTTGTTTTACAGTGTTATAGGACACACTTTTTCTTTTAAGTTGTGTTAATTTGTCCTGAATATTCCTTCCCAAAAGCTGCTTGATTCTTGTTTTACAGTGTTGTTTTTAGTACGGTTTAAATGCATTTTTTAACTAAAAATAAAATAATCATTATATGCAATCTAGTACATCCTTGTAATGAATTGCAGATAAGGTATAATCATTGATGTCTTCTAAATCAGGGGTCCCCACCAGGCTGTGGACTGGTACCGGGCCGCGGCATGCCAGCAACCAGGATGCACAAACAAGCAAAGCCCCATCCGTGGGATGCAGGCAGCACACAAAACCACACACCTTCTGTTCCATGGAAAAACCTCTCTCCACACAACCAGTCCCTGTTGCCCAAAAGATTGGGGACCTCTGTTCTAAATCCACTCTCTGGGAATCACTGTTTTAACAACCAGACATTTCAATACTACTCTGATATGAAGCATTAATTATTTGGAGGCATAAAGATATCTTAAAATAAGGTCTTTTAGTCCAATCATTCTCATACTATCCTGAAAAAAATGGCTGTTCTGTCTTTGAGATCCCCAAAGCTGATTCTCAGCTTATCTTTGTATACTTTTTTCCAGGGCTGATGGGCACACTTTAAAATCTACTATATACCCATTTTCATTTTCTCAGAGGACGTCTGTGTCCAAAGACACCATTAGAAATAGATGATGGCAGAGGTTGTTGCATTTGATAGTTTGTTTTTGTTAAAAACTTAACATAAGAGAGAAGAGACTGGGCTGATAAATCTTAACCATCGTTTGGCAGGGACCTTGATGGGTTTGTTTGCTGGATGAAAGGATGCCTGGTAGACAAAGAATAAAAAGAAAATCTTACGGAGAATCCTCCTGCCTCTGCTCAGCCAGGACGTTACACCGTGATCTATCAATGCCAGGAAAAAGAAGCCTTTTGTGATATTCACTGGAGCTATATGCCGAAAGGACAAGCAGAGGTGCTAATGGAAACCGCCTTGATAATTGAAAACAACAACAAAAAGGACCCACCCATTTTTCGCTCCGTTATCGCATTAAGAAAATTTCCACCTGCGGCATTTGCACGCCCCCAATCGCTCGTCGACGCCTCCTCCTCCTCCTCCTGCGCAAGAAGCCCCGCCCACTTTCCTGAGTCGAAGTTCTCAAAACGAAGGGTAGCCTTGCGAAAAGAAAGGCGAAACGCCATTGGACATTGCTATCGCCCATCTTGCCCAATCAGGATTGGGCAACTCTCCCCCCCCTACGAAAAGAAAGACCAGACACCATTGGACAGTGCTGTCGCCCATCTGGCCCAATCAGGATGAGCAACACTTCCCCCCCCCTCTCTCAAGGGCCGGCGACAGATTAAAAACAGCCGCGGCGCAGAGGCTCTCGGGAGTTCTAATTGAATAGGGGCGGGACTGGGCGCCTCGCCTGTAAAAGGCAGGCTGAGCGGCGTTTCGCGGGACTTTCAGTTTTACTGGGTGGGAGGTTCTTATTGCTTGAGACCCAGTTTGTTAAGTTTGCCTCTTGAGAACTCGAGGCGACACTTTCCTTTCACTGGACTTGCTCCGGGCTTTGCGGGGTAAGTCCTCTCTTGTTCTGCTTTGGGGGCATGATAGTTCTCTAAATAGGCTGATAGTTTAACTGTAGATACACACCTGCCCCCAAAGATGCTTGCCCTGATTTAGCGGTGTGTAGGATATAGGCACTGAAAATCACTTGACCAGCCAGGTGCTCCCAATATGCTGGACTGCGAATTTTATCTCTCTTCCCCCCCCCCCCCAAGCAGGGAAATATTTCAACAAATGATGGAAATTCCTTAGAAATTAGTACAGTAGATAGAACCGTCACCCCCAATTTTGCTATTAATGGCATTGTGTTAACTAAATATAACAAAATAAACCAAGCAGTTTCAGTGCGTCTGGACTGCTAAAATGTAAAGGATTTGAAGCTATTTCTATCTTGAAATGCTTGCCCTTCTTCTCTAGGTGAGAATTGTCTCCCTCCTGCATAACACAGTATCAGACTCACTCTCTTTTGTATACCTTTTCGGAAAGTAAGCTTGAGGTCCTACATAATGCTAGATTTTGGTGAGTCTAATCTATTAAATAAAAGCACTGTTGATATTGCCTAGTTACCTCGTTACCCAAATGAAACATCTGCAAGAAAACAACCAAGCTCACAGAGACCAAGGGCCTCTCATTACAATCCTGAGCTGCAAATATTTTTCTGTATTGTTATTGGTGGAATTTGTGTCAAGATGTAACCATGATTTAAACATCATAGTGTCTGGGTTACTCAAATTGTTTAAGCCCATTTCAAACAAACCATATGAACCTCAGCCTGGAAAACATACTAACCCTAAATGTCTGTGGAGATTCTCAGTCATCCAGGTCATGGTTGTCCCAAAGGTGCTTTTTCCAAAAGATCTTTCTTGGGTTTTTTCTTTGAAAACTTTTCACTTTTCATCCAAGAAGCTTCTTGGATTTTAATACCAGCTTCTCATCCAAAAAGCTTCTTGGTTGAGAAGTGAAACATTTTCAAAGAAAAAAAACCAAGAAAGTCCAGTTGCCTTTTGGAAAAAAACACGTTGGGACACTAGCCTGAAACATACGATGTATGGATGAGTTCACTCATCTTATTTAAGCAAAATGTGAGTTGCTTTTTTTTGGTTTAAATTTTGTGTGAACACATCACTATAATATATTAAATTAAGCCAAATTAAGTTGTGGCTTAGCATGATACATGAAGCTGACCAATAATTTTAATATTTGTTTTCAATTAAAACATTTTTCAATATCTTATAAGAAGTTTCCTACATTTGCACAATGTTTTTTTTTAATCTCAAAATGCAGAGTGTGCTGGTTGTGCATCAATGCAATCTGCTTTCATATTTAATTTTTTATATAAACTCGTATACATATTTGCTGGATTCAAACATTTTAATCTGTTAGGTTAGCTGGATACGTTACTAGCTGAGATCACCCAATATATGAAACCAAACAAACCATATTTAACATTTAATGTATTGACCAAGGAATTTCCCCCCCCCACAAACACCTCATATGGTTCAGATAGAAAACTGTAGCCAACAAAAAGGCTTGTATTAAAATATAGTAGTTATTAAAAGATATATATTTTTATTTTCTTTCCTCTCAGATTGCAGCCTTAAAGCAGTGAAAGAAAAGTTACTTCAGGGGTCTGTAGAAATCAAAAGGAAATTTAAACAAATCTCGTCCAATGGAGGATGACAACTCCCATGTCTTGGAAGCAAACTGTTCTATTTGTAGGCGATATTGTAATCAACCCGTAATTCTTGATTGTGGGCACATTTTCTGCCAAGATTGCATTATGAAGTGCTGGAAAGAATCTCCAACAGAACTTGCCTGTCCTCAGTGCAAGCATATAATTGCTCAGGAGGACGTCAGCCAAAACCAGCAACTGGACAATGTGGTCAGATTACTCAAACAACTAAGATATTGGGCAGAACAAGAGACCAAATCTTGTCAGCAACATCATGAGAATTTGGAGCTGTTCTGTAAGAATGACCAGGACTTTGTCTGTTCACTTTGTCATGGATCTGAGGAACACCAGGCTCACACGGTCATTCCTGTGGAAACAGCTGCTCTGGAGTTCAAGGTCGGGATTTTCCATTTATATTAGGATGTATGTGCTTTTCTACTGTTACCCAACTGGATCTTGATATCCCACACAGGGAAACTTACATGCCCCTTTCAGAAAATAATTACAGGTAGTCCTTGACTTACGACCACAATAACCATCACAAAAAAGGTTGTAAAAGTGGGTCAGTCATCTGGATGACCTGCTTTATGATCATCATGAATAATGACCATAATAGAGTCAGTCCATTATGGTCATCATTCATGATGGTCATAAAGCAGGTCATCCAGATAACTGACCCCCTTTTACAACCTTTTTTGTGATGGTTGTTAAGTGACTGCTGGGATCATTAAGCAAACCGATTGTTCGCCATAAGCTGGTTTTTCCAAAAATCAGAAGTAAATGGTGGCTTTCAGCAAAAGGGTCGTAAAGTGTCACTTGACTGCAGGATGCTACGAACAGCGGTAAATGCAGAGATGTGTGTGTGTGTGTGTCAGTTGGACATTGCAATTTCAGAATTGGATCATAATTACTCCTAAGAGGCTCATTGTAACTCCGGTGGCTACTGTATGTCTAACAAAATGGATTTGGTTTAACCACTACCGTATATGACGGCGTATTAGGCGACCTGGCGTATAAGACGACCCCCATCTTTATCGCCGAGCCACATTCCTAGAACGTCGTCTTATATGCCGGAAACTACCAGTATTTCCGGCTCTAAGACGACTCGGCGTATAGGACGACCCCCGTCTTTGGCGCCGAGTTTAGCGCTTCTGGAAGTTGTCTTACACGCCGGCATATACGGTATTACAGATGATAGCTAAGGTATTCTTTTACAGGTAAAAATGGAAATACTTCACTAAATGAGTATGTCTGGGTTCAGTTTTGATGTTAGTTCTTGTTTTCCAATGTATTATTTTGGATAGTTTCTGTATAAATAACATAGTTTTGCAGGGTGTAATAGACATATTGCCAGTTATAGCAAGAGAGAGAAAGAAAAAAACTCTCTAGTCAAGACTTTGGGCAACTACATCAACAAATCCCAGGTTTCTTGGCAAGATTTTCTAAAGTAATTTGTCTTTGTCTCCTCTTTCCTGGGGCTGAGAGTGGGCGACTGGCCAAAGGTCACCCAGTCTGTGGCAGGACTAAAACTCACAGACCGATTTCTAGCAATAACATTTGATTTGGGGGATGAATGGATATTTTTTATTCTGTGCTGTAATGTTCTCTTTTGTAGCTACAGATAGTTCTAATAGTTTAAAGACCATTGTTTAAAGACCATTCATTCAGCGACATTTGAAATTATGATGCTGAACAAGGGAGATAATAATAATAATAATAATAATAATAATAATAATAATAATAATAAAGTTGGAAGGGACCTTGGAGGTCATCTAGTCCAACCCCCTGCTCAGGCAACAAACCCTAAACCAGGGCTTTTCAACCAGTGGTATGGGTACCACCTGTGGTACATTGGCACCTGGCAGGTGGTACGCGATCATCCTAGAAAAGTGGTAGCGGGGGAGGGGAATGAGCGCCGCTGGGTGGGCAGGCAGGTGTCTTGCTCAGTTGTGCCTTGGGGGGCACTTTTTTCAGTGCTATTGTAACTTCGAACAGTCACTAAGTGACTGCAAGGTTGGTAAAATGAGGACCCAAATTGTTGGCCATATGCTGTCCCTGTAAATCACTTAGAGAGGGCTGTAAAGCACTTTGAAGCGGTATATAAGTCTAAGTGCTATTGCTATCCTAAGTTGGTGTAGTCATGTGACATTGAGCTTGACGATCAGGTTGATTGCATAGCAATCAAGTTCCTGATCCCAATTACCATTGGTAAGCGAGGATTACCTATACAGGTAGTTCTTAACTTACAACTACAATTGAGCTCAAAATTTATGGTGCTAAGTGAGTCATTTGTTAAGTGAATTTTGTCTCGTTTTATGACCTTGCCACAGTTGTTAAGTGAATCACGGCAATTAAGCTAGTGACACAGTTGTTAAGTATATCTGACTTCCTCATTGACTTTGTTTGTCAGAAGGTCACAACTGATGATCACACGATCCCAGGACACTGCAGCCCTCATATTTATGAGTCAGTTGCCAAGCATGGGATGCCACAAAGGTTGTAAGTGTGAAAAATAGTCATAAGTCACTTTTTTTACTGCTGTTGTAACTTTGAATGATCATTAAATGAACTGTTGTAAGTCGAGAACTACCTGTATTCTATTGCATTGAGGCAACATATTGGGATTGAATTATTTAACTTTAATTCAGTATGATAGACTGGAATGTTCAATGTCTTTGGTGGCTTGGTTATAGTTATGCTTCTGGGAAAAATGAAAAAATTGTCAGTTTGGGGTAAAAGCCTCAAACCAGTGCAGTAGCGGCAGAAGTTTTGTGTGACGGCTGGAGAATAAGAAAAATCAAAATAGATTAGTATCTTTTCTGAGTAACACATTTTATTAAAAAAGCATAAGCATTTGGAAACTACAGCTTCATCAAATGCATGGAATGTTTAAGCTGATGTAAGATTTAAATTGGGGTGAGGTGGAGGATTAGATTTAGGAAAGTCAGAGTAATTAGGCAGGTGCAGATTACATATAAGGCAGGTTATGATTATTCATCAGTTAACAGTTGCAATGTGTGTTTGTTGCAAGTCCATGGATTATAAAACACCCATCTGGATAGAGTGATGATTGCTTGGGGAAAGAGATAGCAGATATTATTACAGGTTCTTGACTTATAGCCACAAATGGGATTGGAATTTCAAATGTAAGTTGTGATGGTTGTAAATTGAGGCATCCAAGTGATTGGACCTAAGCAAATCATGCAGTTGTAAGTCTGAATTATGTGGTTGTGAACCATGCATTTGTGTCGGAACAGCAACAAAAAATGTTGCAAATTGCTATCCAGTAAGCACAGGATGCTGCAACTGGTTATAAATGTGAGCCAGCTGCCAAGTGCCCAAAATGCAATCATGGAGTATGTGTGACACTTTACAATGGCCAGAAATGTTTTATGGGTTGTAAACCACCCTTTCCAAGGCCGTTGTAACTCTGAACAGTGGTTAAAATGACTTGTAAGTCAAGGACTATCTGTAAAAGATTTTCCCAGACTGACTTCAACTGATCAGACAATTTTATGGACACAGAAAACGAGTACTAACTTCCTGTCTCATAGGTGCTTTTTTCCCCAAAAGGCACCTGGACTTTATTTTTAAAAGCAAAGAAAGTCCAGTTGCCTTTTGGGAATATAAGCACCTTTGGGACCACTATGACCTGGATGACTGAGAATCTCCATAGACGTTTACTAACTTCCTGATTTTCCCTCCCTTTCAGAATTTATTTCTCAGTTGCCTGAATGTTCTGAAGAAGGAAAGAGATGAGATTTTGAAACTTCAGTCAAACATGGACTATGAATGCCAAACTCTGCTTGTAGGTGGCCGTTTTAACTGGGAATGATAATAGTGCCTTTGAGTCAGTCTTTATCTCTGGTAAATACAAGCTCAGGTCCATGGTCTATGCCAGACATGTCAAACACAAGGCCCGAGGACTGGATGCGGCCTGCGAAGTGGTTTCATGTGGCCCGCGAAGCCATCCTGGAAACAGTGAGGGAACGGCCCCCGCTGCCTTGGCCCTAGCCCAGTCTGGCGGGAGCCAATATACAATTTTCTGGTGGCCATCTATGCTGAAATGCATTCAGTCTTAGCTCCACAAGGCCGTCCAGAAACAGCGAGGAACCAGCCCCTGCTGCATTGGCCCCACTCCCTGGGTGCATGCTGGGGAGGTGTCACCCTTTGTAAAGAATGAAGAAATGCATCACGCCTTGGCGCTTGCCCTGGTCCCACCCCCTTCTTCCAGAGACCCTCAGATCTGTCCCACTCCTGCCCAGGCTCCCACAGGCACCCTTGATGCGAACGAAGTAGAGCTGGCCATGCCCATCCAGTAGGCCACACCCACTCCATTCACGCCCACCTAGTAGTACCCACCCTGGCCACACCCCCCCCCCGACGGCAACCGCAATGCTGATGCGGCCCTCAATGAAATTGAGTTTGACATTCCTGGTCTATGCAGTTTTCTTGTCAAGTTTTCTTAAGGCTGAGAGAGAGGGACTGGCCCAAAGTCCTCCAGCTGGCTTGGTGCCTAAGACAAGACTTAGAACTCTGCCTCCTGGTATTCTAGTCTGGTGCTTTTAATCACTACATCAAATTAGCTCTAAACTGGGAAATGAGTGGCTCTGATTAAGCCATGGTATTCCCTATGACACTATGGAAGTGAAAGTCGGACTTTGAAGAAGCAGATCAGAAAAAAATATTGACACTTTGAACTTTTCTGTTGGAGAAGACTCCTGACAGTACTGTGGATAGCCAAGAAAACAAACCAACAGATCATTGCACAAATCAATTCAGAATTCTCACTCAACGCACAAAGGACCAGAGTCAAATTATTCTTTTTTGGACATCTTATGCAAAGACCTAGCTCTCTGGGAAAGGCTGTAATGCTAGGAAAGGTGGAAGTTGTCAAGTTTGAAAAACATTGGTTTAGAGCAGGCATGTCAAACTTGCGATGTCATGTGACGTCACGCAACGTATCGGGACAGTTTTGCCATTGCCGGCAATGGGGTGGGTGCGGCTTTTGTGTGATGCATCTGGGCCACGGGCTGGCAATTTGACACCCTTGGTTTAGAGTAATATATGAACCAGATAATGTGTCTGGAGTCATACCTTGCAATAAACTTTGTTTTGCTTAATCGGGGCTATTAAACCACAGATAGCTGGCTTTGCATAGCCCTTAAAATAAAATTTTAATATGGATTAGTATGATGTAGAATCCAGCTGCAATTTTCAGTAGGGCATTGATTTAAGAATGCAGGAAAAGCATTCAGTTGCCACTGTCAAACCTTGGCTTGACAATATTTTAGTCAAGTTATCTGCTCTGTATGTAACAATTTCAGCAAAGTTTATTAAGAAATTTAACATGAAGTGTTTTGACTGTTCAAATATTGCTTCTTTAAGTTAAAGGTGATTGGGACAGATTGTCTGTCTCTTCTTTGGTTTGTTATAGGAGCAGCTAGAAAGAAACAAAGAAACCGTGAAAACTGATTTTGAAGAGCTGCACCAATTTCTTGAGGAACAAGAGGATTTTCTGCTGACTAGAATGGAGGACGTGGAAGATAACATTGCACAGAAGAGAGAGGAGCATATTGATCAGATCGCAAGGGAGCTCTGCTCCCTGGAAACCATCATCTGGGAAATGCAGGAGAAATGCCAGCAACCAATAAATGAACTCCTACAGGTAAGACAATAGGGTAGAAATGGGCAAGAATTCTTGCATCTATCCTTAGGCAGTGTTCCTTGCAGAAAGAGTGGGCGTAAACACAAAATTTATGGAGTGTGAGAGATTTGCATTGGTTTCTCTAGTTCACTCTCTCTGCCTCCATTTTGTCCAATTCTTATTTAATGTTTCTGAAGTTCAGAGACACACTATGAATATCCAGGATGTCAAAATGGATACCATTGAATGGCACTGAGATTCCTCTTTTTTTCTTTCCATCCATTCTAGGATACTGGAAGCACCTTGACGAAGTAAGTGACCTACACTAGAAATTGATCTTCTGTAGGAAAAGAATGACTTGGTCTTGCTTGGGGCCAAGTGGGTCAGTGCAAAAGTGAACCAGGAGGATTGTAAAATTGCCTATTCATTGAGGGTTTATGCTGAAAGTCTGTTGAGGTAATTCTTCAACTTGATCCTAAACTGCATATTGTAGAAAGTAGATTAGGATCTACCGTTGGATCATAGTAAATCATATTCTTACCTCTTAGTGGTCCAACAATGGCGACACCTTAAAAAATTCATCTTTTTATGTGAAAGGATTCAGTAGTTTGATTTTGTAACTGATTACATATCCCAGACTGAATGGATGCTTAGAAGACATCCATGGTGAGTCCCTAAAGATTATTTATTTATTTATTTATTTATTTATTTATTTATTTATTTATGAGACTTATATACCGCTTTAAGTGCAAGCACTCTCTAGATTAGAGAGATTAGATTAGATTGTTAACAAAGTGGCAGAATATCTGACTTGGGCGCAGAAGGTCACAGCTTCCGTTTCTGGGTAAGTCTGGGGAAGTCTCTGCCTTGAAACCTGGAGAATGACTGCTAGCAATCTTAAATCTTAAAACAATCTTAGTTTATGTATCGTCGAAATTGCATATATATCTTGCCATCTTTCAAGAACAGTATTTCCTTCTGAGACTACTCACCTTCTTGGGTGGAGATGGTCCCTTTCACGCAAGTAATGCAATCATAGCAGTTACTGAAGTGACATCTTACACTAAATTGTTGCTTTGACTATGTATATTAAGTGAATCCAGCCATTGTGGTTTGGATAAATGTAATTTATATACTAGCTCTATTTACAGTTACATTAATAGAATTGCAAGTCTCAAAGTACCGTAAATGCCGGCATATAAGACGACTTCCGCGAGCGCTGAAATCGGCGCCAAAGACAGGGGTCGTCTTATACGCTGAGTCGTCTTATACGCTGAGTCGTCTTATACGCCGGAAATACTGGTAGTTTCCGGCGTATAAGACGACGTTCTAGGAATGCGGCCCGGCTATAAACTGGGGTCGTCTTATACGCCGGGTCGCCTAATACGGCGGCATATACGGTACATCTCTTCCTCCTCACCTTTACAGCACAAGGAACTATGGAGGGTCTCTTGTAAGATGTTTGCCACATCCCCACTCCTTCTGCTGCCTGTCTGACCCTTGTCCATTCTGTGACTCTTCCACCTGTTTTTCAAAATCATCCTCACATATTACATGTATGAATCAACTAACCGATTATGACTTAATCAATAAACTGATGACATCATGGCTTGTCCTATGTGAATCTAAACGGGATACAGTAGTTATACTGAGATGGACTAATGCAGAGTTCCCCAACATTTTGGGCACCAGGGACCGGTTCCGTGGAGAGACATTTTTCTGCAGACCGGAGGGGACATGGTTTTGTGTGCTGCCTGCATCCCACGGATGGGGCTTTGCTTGTTCGTGCAGACTGGTTGCTGGCATGCCGTGGCCCAGTACTGGTCCACGGATGAGGATTGGGGACCCCTGGACTAATGGATTTATTTAGTTATGAGACAGTTTCCTATGTTTCTCTCTATCAGGCAATTACATGACTCAAATTTGTCCCACAGCACTCATTGGTTTAGTTCACACTATCCTAGCTATAATGTGGTTGTTTATTTTTGGCTTCGTAAATGATGTGATCCTAGGTGATTATTTGCTAAGTTGGTGAATTTTACGTAAGCAAATCTTGGCAACATGTGCCGTGTGAATTAGTCACGCTCTCTAAAATGCTATTGTTCCTCATTTTCCCTTATGTGATTATCCCCGTGCATTCTGAATTTCATGGTTTGGTAAGTGGCTTTTATGTTTCTCCAGGTTCTTGACAAAAGACATTTTTGATAGCCCTGTGATGTTTCCACTGGCGCTAAGATGGGAATTCTGGGACCTGTGCGATTTAAGTGCTATTTTGAAGAATGCCATGAGGCAGTTTCAAGGTTGGAAATATGAATCGGAGGACAGTGCTCCAATTCTTTCTTTGTTCAATATTAATTGCTCTAAAAAGATCACAGAACAGAGTATCTAAAATCAGCCTCAGTGAACATTGAGGAGTCATGAATTACAGTTGTCATAAAAAAATCAAACCCATCTTTGCTATAGTCATAGACCAGAATACTCAAGACACTAGTTGTTAAAATGAAAAATATGCAGCAACCACAGTATGTTCTGATAATTAGCATAAACATCCTGACACTCACTTCAAAGTTCATTTTTGTAGTTGGGGACTACAGATATACAATTGATTTGGCAACTAAAAAGGAATCTTAGAATTTCTATCTGCTGAAAACTCATAGATAGTTTGTTTGAATGGTCTGGATATTTTAAAAAGAGACTGAATTAAAATAAGTCAGAAATCAAGAGTGAAATTGACAGTACTGAGTACAGTGGTACCTTGGTACGTATAATTAATTGGTTCCGGGAGACGTGATGAGCAGCAAAAATGATGAGTACCAAACAATTTTTTCCAATAAGGAATAATATAGTGAGTCACAAGGCAGCCGACACCCATTATAGTAAAATCAAATTTATATTTGACAGAAGATACTCTCTTGCATTCTAGAAATCATTGATGGAAATGTTACACATCCAAACACATACTGGTACATAAAAATAATAAAATCATATAATTTACAGATGAGGGTTCTCTTTAGAAACCAAGTATCATAATTTAATTAAGCAAAACACTGCTGTTGGTTCTCAACCTGGTTAAATTTTAAAGTTTAAGAAGTTTAACAAGTTTTTAAAAAATTAAGTTCCCATCATTCCTACTTCAATATTTCAATGTATGTGTTGGCCCAAAGTTGGATATTTTTAAGTCCCAACAACCAGCCTAATCTGTGATGAAGTATTTGTTATTTTTCTGTGACAAAAGGGGCAGTGGGTAGGGCTGCTTTACAGGTAGTCCTCGACTAACAACTACAATTGAGCTTCCACTGCTAAGCAAGAGAGTTGCTAAGTGAGTTTGGCCTATTTTATGATCTTTTTGGTCATATTTGTTAAGTGAATCATTGCAGATGTTAAGTTAGTAAACACGTTTCTCAAGTGAATCTTCCCCATTGATTTTGCTTGTCAGAAAGTCACAAAAAGTGATGGCATGACCTTGGGATGCTGCAAAAATTATAAATACATGCCAGTTGCTAAGCATCCAAATTTTGATCACATGATCATTGGGATGCTGCAATAGTCGTAAGTGTTAAAAATGATCATAAGTCATTTTTTTTGCAGTGCTATTGTAACATCAAATGGCCACTAAATGAATGGATGTAAGTCAAGGACTATCTGTATGCAACTAATTAGAAGGGTTCTAAACTTTTGAAATTTGCTGCCAAGTTATATTAATGTTATAGAATGAAAAAATACTAGTCATATTAATGGTAGGTAATGTAAGTTAAATTTAAATTGAATCACATTTGGTTTTGCCCTGATCTCAGCCATTTCTGTGTTGGCTCCCAACTGTTATTGAAATATAGCCTACAACAACCCTTTAAAAAGCCAACTCCAGCCATCAGCTCACAAAACTTGTCCTCATCTGTGGCAGTGTTCATTCTTACTTTTTTCTCCACCAGATGCAATGGACTCTGGATATCCGCTGTGCAAAGGTATGTTTCCGGGGCCAAGAAAGGGTCACATTCATAAGCCTGATTAGGTTTTGGGCAGTGGGGCTCCATAAGTATGTTGTTAGTCAAGTCAAGATGTTAGCCATAATGGTGGGAACAAAGCTCCACCTTTTTATGTCAACTGTTGACATCTAATTTTGTTTCTATAACTAGGCATCTTTGTGGTCCCTCCTAACTCTATAATCTTACGATGCAAACATGAGTTCTTCATGAGAATTTGGAAAGGGCTGTAAAAAGTGCCACATCTGCTTATAGCAGACATGTCAAACACAAGGCCCGGGGGCCGGATGTGGCCCACGGAGTGGTTTCATGTGGCCCACGAAGCCATCCTGGAAACAGTGAGGGAACAGCCCCTGCTGCCTTTGCCCTGGCCCTGGCCCAGGCCGGCCGGGAGCCAAAGTACAATTTTGTGGTGGCCATCTATGCTGAAACGCATTCAGTCTTAGCTCCACAAGGCCGTCTGGAAATGGCTTGGTGCTGCAGGTGCTCGAGGGCCAGGCTGGGCGTTTGACCTCTGCTGCCCAGGGCTCCGGGCAGCCCGCGCCACCATCCAGCCCCACCTGCATGGCCTGAGAGGAACAGTGAGGCTCCTACCAGTGGACCATGCCTTGGCACTTGCCCCGGTCCCACCCCCTTCTGCCAGAGACCCTCAGATCTGTCCCACTCCTGCCCAGGCCCCCACAGGCCCCCTTGACACAAATGATGTAGAGCTGGCCATGCCCACCCAGTAGGCCACACCCACTCCATCCATGCCCACCCAGTAGACTGCACTCACCCTGGCCACACCCACCTGGCCCCCCCAAGGGCAACCACAATGCTGATGCGGCCCTCAATGAAATTGAATTTGACACCCCTGGCTTATAGGATAGACTAGAGCTGGAAGGCACCTTGGAGGTCTTCTAGTCCACCCCGCCGCCCGAGCAGGAGAACCAATACCATTTCAGACAAGTGACTGTCTAGTCTCTTAAAGACCTCCAGTGATGGAGTGCCCACAATTTCTAAAGGCAAAGCTGTTAGGGGGGGATGTAAAAGATGTGTAAACTACAATGTAAGTACAATGATTCATTTAACAACTGTGGCAAGAAAGGTAATAAAATAGGGCAAAACTCATTTAACAAATATCTCGCATAGCAATATAAATTTTGGGCTCAGTAATGGTCATAGGTCAAGGGTTACCTGTATTCCAGAGTCATATTCTGTTTATTAATATGTGTAGGCTCAGGAGATGAGTTTTGATCACCTCTGGTATTCTGCTCATGCTTGCTTTTCTCTTCCCCCCCCCCCCTTGTAGCCCAAGTGACTTTGGATCCAGACACAGCTCATCCCAAACTCATTCTGTCTGAGAATCGGAAAAGCATGATCCTGGGAAACTGGCCTAGACTTCGTTCCCATTGTTCTAAAAGATTTGATCAGTGTCTTTTCGTGCTGGGAAAGGAGAAATTCAAGACAGGCAGGTGTTACTGGGAAGTCACTGTAGGCAATGAGGACGGCTGGGGCCTGGGAGTTGCCAGGGCCTCTGTGAAGCGCAAAGGCATTGTCTCCCTAGATCCTGCAGAAGGAATCTGGGCAATGGCGAAGTGGGGAGACCACTGTACAGTTCTCCACCCTTCTCATTTGCCCGCTCTGCCTATGAACTGGGATCTCCAGAGGATCCGAGTATCTCTGAATTATATTGGAGGTCGGCTGTCCTTTTTTGATGCAGATAGAGGGATTCTGTTGTTTGCCTTCTCGGAGGCTTCATTTTCTGGAGAACCACTTCACCCTTTCTTTTGGCTTCAGGGAAAAGCTCAACTCATTCTCTGTTATTAAAATGGTTCGACCTTGTACGCCATACACTTCCCAGCACCATCACCTTCATAATTTTCAATCCAGATTTTCCTTCTACCTCATTTCCATATCATCCCAATGTCCCAGCTGTTGAGGATTGGAAAGGCCTAATGTTTAAGAGGGCTTGATTATTAAAGCAGCCATCCTCGGTCTGGTATGTTGGAGAAGAACATCTGGAATTCTCAACATTGATATCTAATCCACCCAGAAGATACCTAGTTGTGGATGGATGATGTAATGGTGCTCCTCACTAAGTGAGAACCTTCTTTTCAAAATTTCTAAGAGAGGGTGATCCTTAACTTGGGTTTTGTCAGGGATTAGTAATGTTTGAACAGTTGGGAGCCACAATTCATGTCTCCCAACCTTTTAAAGGGCTGCAGGAGCCATTCTGGTGGGCTGTGAATTAACCACAATGGATATTGCCAATATTTCCTTCTGTTTTGGTAAGTTTAAAGCTTGGGAAGGGAGTAGGAAGCCTCTAGAGGCAAACCACGTTTATTTCCATTTGCAACTATCCAAAACCTAAAAGGTAAGAAACCTCCCAGGAAAATCCAGCCATTTTGGACAGGGGCTGTTATGACTTGAGCATGCTGAGGATTGTGTGAGAGTTGTAAGCTGCCTTCTCAATTTTTCTTACTCTCTTTCCTTTAAACCAGAGAGATATGGTTACCTAAAGCAGTGGCACCCTAATCTTTTGGGGAATAGGGACCAGTTCTGTGGAGGGTGATTTTTTTTTGCGAACTGGGGGAGGTGGTTTCATATGCTGCCTGGATCTCATGCATGTGCAGGTGATGCTTCACTCGCTTGTATAGCCCAGTTCCTGGTGATCTAGATTGACCAGTGCCAGTCTGTGGCCTGGGAGTTGGGGACTCTTCACCTAAAGGATAGAACTGACATTTGGAAAAGTATTCTGATTCCCTCTGTTGCTTTGTAACAAACCAGCTCATTGTAGAGCAGAACCAAAAATACTTAGAAGACATGTTCTTTGCTCTTTTTTCTACTGTTTTTTTTTACATTTATGGATGTTGAATGTTCTGTAATAAATTAATGGTTCCTTTTCTTTTTTATATATAATATTTTATTAGTTTTTTTTAATTTTACAATTAAACATTTAAAAAGCAATGTGGTGACTGGGTAATCAATAATTCAATAACATATATAAATCTTTAGCACAAAACTCAAGTTATAACATCAGATATTTCCTCTCTTTTTTCCTTAATATCTACTATCTCCTATTGGGCTAATATAGTTATTATTATTATCAAGTAAGTAAAACCATTTTTGTTACATTTATCAATAATTTTTAGCTTATACATAATTGTGTTTGTATTCAATCCTTATATACAATCAATGTCCTGTTATTGCTTTTCCCCAGGCTTTAATTTCCTATCAATATTCAAATTAACATTTGGTATATTATATTTTCCAAGCTTTAGGTGACCAGAGTTTCTCTTATCTCAACTTCTACATTTTTCCCTTTTTATAACAAAATTTAATATTCTAAATACACATTTAATCTTATTCTATTTTCTAAAAGTTATCTATTTTCCACCATATTAAACCAAAAGTCTATTAATCTTACCTATTCAATTATAATGTTACTTTATTTTCTAAAAATTATCCATATTCAACCCTCTAATCAGTAATATGAAGTCCCTTCTAATAAATCAAAACCCTAGTTTCTTTCAGCCTTACTCTGGTTTTCTTCTTTTGCCAACTAACCTTCCATGTCAGTACTTTTGAATCCTCCAACAGTTCTCCATTTATTATTATATGTATTATTTGAAATAAGAAAAACCATTTACAGTTTTTTTGGAAGAACTAGTCCAATTGTATTCATGTAATCATCTCCCTATCACTCCAAGTTTTCACAATTGTCCTGATAAGTTTATCTTCCAACTGATCTGTTCTTCCTTTTCCTCAAATTTCTTCTGGGTTATGTAAAAAGTCTTTTCCATTTTCAATGTTGTCGCTCCCTTTTCTGAATTTTCCATTGGCTGGATTTGTTGGTCAATTGGGTCCTCTGTCTTAGTATTTAGTTGTTCCACTTCTTCTGTTACTTTCTGCATTGTTCTTTGGTTGTAGTCAAGATCTGGGTTTGTATATCTAAGCTGGCATCTTGTTCCTTTATGTTGCCTCTTATTTTGTTACACGCTGAAAAAATGGTTTCGTGTATTGGTTTCAACATAGAAAGGATTTTTTCCTGATCTTCATCCCTATTCTCTTGATAATGTATTAAGTTGAAGATTTTGAAATCAAATGTTAAAAATAGTTTTTTGTTTTTTATAACTAGGTATCGGACATCTATTTCACATGTTGTAGGTAGTCGTTAAAGTGGAAATTGTTTGCCAAGTAAGAGTTTATAATCCAAAGTTTTCCATCATCTCGTGTAATAAATGCTTCTCATGTAAAGAAATAGGAAAATAATTTCCCATATATAACTCTACAAATCAGTAAAGGTTTACTTTCATAGTTCAAACAGGCCAGAAATGCCACCCTGAACTTCCTTCTTTACAGCTGAGTTTTTCACAGGTGGTATCTATCAAGGACAAAAGAGTTTTTTCTAAATTCTGGGCTTCAAGCCAAGTCTTTTTTGGTCAATAACAAGTTGTAAAACCATACTTCTCCACAAGATGTCACCGATGCCATTTAAAACTTTTTAAGTCCCAAGTTTTTATAATAGTTTTTCGAGGTTTATTTCTTTTCTTTTTAGATAAAAACCAACAACTCCAGTAAGAATAGGAAAACTTTTAATCCCCCAATTTCAAAGGTATATGTATCCAATTACATTAAAGTTGTTTTTATAATTGCTTTGTTTCCTCTAGGTCAGTGGTGGCAAACCTATGGCACGGGTGCCAGAGGCGGCACTCAGAGCCCTCTCTGTGGGGACATGCACCATTGCCCAAGTCCTAGGCCTTCAGCTGGATTTTATAAAACCTTTTTGTTTTATGCCTCCACCATGTGCAAAAAAAAGGTTCAATCAATCAGTCAATTTCAACTTCTTGCAGGAAAAAAAAGATCTTGCAAAGTTGGAATTGATTGATTGAACTTTTTAGTCCCACCCAGTCTGCTGTTACCACTGCAGCCATGCCCACCCAATGGGCCACACCCGCCAATTGGCCACACCCAGCCAATAGTCCACATCTATCCGGCACCCAACGATGCATAATTGGGTTTTGGGTTGCAGTTTGGGCACTCGGTCTCTAAAAGGTTTGCCATCACTGCCCTAGGTAGTCGCCATTGTTCTTAGAGGGTGGGGTGGAGATTTCATTCCCTCTCTCCTCACAGGGGGAAATATACTTTAGGAAGCTTTTGCAGGAAAAGATATTTAAAGTCTTAAAAAGATCAGATCTCAACCAGTTTCATCCACGTTGCTTTAATATGCTAGGTAGTAATTTTGACTTTGGCTGTCAGCAGCTTAATGACGAGCCATATTGCTATGTCCGGTCTTTCCTCCGCTGGTTTGGAGGGCTGCCCCAGCTCAAGTGGAAGGGCTGCTGTCCTCCCATGATCAAGCGGGGGTCCCTTCCTTGCTCGTTGCCCCTGCAGGGTGACCTTCGACCCTTTCCAGGGTCCCCCAGCAGGATGGAATCAGACGCAGAAGATGGAGCTTGTCTTCATGCCTCCGCAGGCGTCGCTATGGCAAACCGGAAGAAAAAGGTTCCTTTTCTTGTAGGCTTCCTGTGCTTTCCAAAATACAGAGCTCTCTGCATCTAGAAACACTTTTGTTTTTGATGATTGCTCCATAAAAGCATATTGGATAATGTATAAATGGGTTGTTTCATATTCTTCCATTCCTTACAAAATAGCCTAAGCTGAAACAGTTGTTCCACCGAAAGGGGCAGATACATGTGCGGTAGGACTAAGCATATCAGCTTCATACCAGAAAGAGCCACGGTGGCATAGTAATTAGAAGCAGTATTGCGGGCTAACTGTCAACTGCAAGCAGTTCAGTCCTGACCAGCTCAAGGTTGACTCAGCCTTCCATCCTTCTGAGGTCAGTAAAATGAGCACCCAGATCGTTGGGGTAATATGCTGACTCTGTAAACAGCTTAGAGAGCTGTAAAGCACTATGAAGTGATATATAAATCTAAGTGCTATTGTTTTTCATATCACTACAGCAGATGTATAGTCATGCATTATATGTCACATCTTTTACCCATCCTCTTCACTGGTGTTCCATTCCATGTTCCATCCTTCATGTTTTTCTGTAGAGTTAAGCAAATGTTAAAAATAAAGAACTGAGCTGCAGTCTTCCATCACCTCTTTTATTCCATAAAGGCTTACGTGGCACTCCAAACCTATTAATCATTGATAGAATAACTCAAAGAGGAGATTCTCTGGATGAGGACAGCAAACAGGCTCAGCTGCTGGGCCTTCAAAAATTGGGGTTGGTGCATTTTATAAATGATATCTCTGAGTTTTGCAACAGGACATTGACTCACAAGGTAGATTCTCAGGATCTTAGCTTTATAGAATGATGTGAACATGTTTGAGATGAAACTGGGATTTGGTTGTGCTAAGAATATACTAGTTGCCAAGTAGTCCGCCATTAATGGAGGTATAAACTAGAGCTGATTTTTATTAAATATCTACACTGCCCATTTCACCTAAATTATTCTGGGCAGTTTACATCAATGTAACAAAATAATATAAACACACGAATAAAAGCACAGATTAAAAAGACCAAACTTTTTTTTTTTAAAAAAATGTTAGTCTCCATCGTCTCTGTCTTGACTAAAAGGCAAGCAGAAATCAATATTCTGGCACAGTGATTACAATGCAGTGTTGCAGGCTAATTCTGCACATAGTTTTGATCCTGACGAGGCTCAAGGTTGACTCAACCTTCCACCCTTCCAAGGTCATCAAAATGAGGATCCAGATTGTTGGGGGGAATATGCTGATTCTATACACCATTCAGAGAGTGCTGTATAGCATGGGTTCCCAACCCCTGGTCTGTGGACCGGTACCAGGCCGCTGCATGCTAGCAACTGGTCTACACAAACAAGCATAGCCCCATCTGAGGGATGCAGGCAGCACACAAAACCATGCTCCCTCCAGTCCGTGGAAAAACCTCTCTCCACATAACCGGTC